ATATGTCAGTGAATTCAATAAGCATGAACTTCTCACCAAACACATAAGGAAGCCATGGATTACCAGCCATTCCTTAACAGTGAGCAGTGTAGGTGTCTTTGGAGCGCAACACTATTTTGGGAGAATCTTCAGAGAATTCTGTTTGGAAGTCATCTTTTTCAGCTAAACAAAATCGACAACAGTACCTTGCACTAAAAGACTCCACCAGACCAAACAAGCTATGTAAGCCTAAGTTATCGGCAGCACGTCCGCCGATGGGGGGGGCAAACGGGTCTGTTGTCCCGGGTCCAGAGTGGGGTGGGGGGGCCAGAACTGGACCCTCATTGAATTATGGATTTTTTCCCCCAAAGAAGGGCTATTAATGGAAAGAAACAGTGCAATATTTGAGTTAGAAGTTTTAATTTGTTTTCGTCTGACCTGTCCTTAATATCTTTGGAGTTGCCCTCCACCCCCACCTCCAACATAAAATGGTTTGGCCCCTGATCAAAATCTGATGTACAGTCCTTTTATTGGAAGTTCGGATTTTGCACTTCAGCACCAAAATGTCCGCTCAGCAGAAGTCTGGTGCTCAGAAAAGGAAAAAGAAGAGAAAAGGAGAGGAAGAAAATAGAGGCCTTAGAGATTTGCTTAAAACATACTTTAAAAAAGGTGGTGACAACGAAGCTGGAACTAGTAAAGTCAACGTAGAGCGAGGTAAGAAACAGCGGAGCCAACGTTTGTCAGCTTGTAACGTTATTTGGCTAGCTCTTAATATCCATTAGCTGTGATAAAAATCCTGACAAAACACGGGTTGTTTGACAGAAACGGACGAGTTTAGTGGCTTCGTCAGAGAGGATGAGACAGAGATGAGGAGGAGGAAGGGGCCCGCTGGTCCGCAACAGAGGGACAGAGTCAGACCACGGATGAGACTGAGAGAGGGAGCGAGTCACGGTGGAGCGGGAGGGGGCTTGCTGCCCAGTCGGACAGTCTGAGCAGGATGGATCAAAAACTTATGCACATAACAGGAGAGGAAGAGCAAAGAAAAGGGGAGATGTGGGTGAGTGGGGTGGGGGGGCATCTAATATCATCTTGTCCCGGGCCCAGGGAAGGCTGTCAGCTGGCCTGCATGTAGCACCGCGTGGGAGCAACAGGGCTCAGTGGTTCTGCATCGCATACAGCAGCGGTCCTCAACCACCGGGCCGCACAGAAAGAATAAACAAAAGTTTTATTGTTTTATTTTTATTTCCGGCGCAGTCAACAGGGTGTTTTATTTTGAAACAGTACTAGCGCGTCTTCCCGTCACTTCCGTCTCTGCTTATTTCCCGCGCTTGACTGTCAGTTTTCATGCTCGGCCGTCAAACGAAGCCGTCCGTCTCATCGCTGTCGAAATGTATAAAAAAAAAAAAAAAAAAATCTCCGGAGAGCTTCTTTGGAAAGTGGGAGAGGCTCGATGCTGAGACAGAAGAAAAAAATAAACACATATTTAGCAAGTAATTTTATTCGTTTGTGAAACTTTTTAATAGAAAAAAAAAATATTTTTTATGTGTGCAATGACCGGTCCGTAGAAACATTTCTTGCGTAAAACCGGTCCGCAGTGCAAAAAAGGTTGGGGACCGCTGGCATACAGAACCCAACTTACTGTGTGAGATCTAATTTCCTGACACTACACACACACACACACACACACACATTAATACAATTCACAGCTTCACTACAAACATCACCGTGATGAAGAAGTCACTCTGCACCAAGTACTACTCTCTTCAGTCTAGAATACACAATTTGGTTGCAGAGTCAGTTGGAAAAATGGGACTAATTTAAAACAAATTCATCAATAAATTACCACAATTGATTTGAATTTCCAACATATTCAAACAAAGGTAGCACTGTCTGCACTGCAGCATAGTGCTGGACATGCAAATAAAACCTTCACTACTGTCTTATCTGAACAATAAACATAATATCACACAGCTTGACTTGCACTTACCTGTGTACACTTGTGTGACTATGTTGAGCAAGTGTCCTCTGAATCTGTCACCTTAAAAATGACTACACCTGCTATTTTAATACGCTACATTCTTGTGTTCATTGTTTAATGATAGACCCCAACATTAGCATATAGTAGTTACAAAAAAAAATGACACCCAACACCAACAGCTTCACTCTTATATTTAATTCTGATTCATCATTATGAGAACAGACAACAGTGAAGCAGGAAAGACTCCAGAACGTACCGTCACTATCAATTAAGATTAAGAGCATAGAATTTTATTGTAAAATTCAACATCACCGCAGTAGAAACATGAAAACAAACAGGGTGAGTGTGCAGTATCAGCATAATCTATTTTTACCAAAAGCTGAGGGTTTGGGTGAAACCTGTATCACTTCAAGTCCAAAAGAGTTCGTTTACACAATCAATAAAATAAGCACACCAACAGAAAGATAATGCACACATCAAAATTGCAAGAAAAATCCCCAAACCTATACGACTTGTGCTGTCATTACTGTAGTATAATGCCTCAATCATTCCAATATACAGAAAAAAAACAACTTTCTATGACTCCAATTTTAAAAGCTTTGAATGGAGAGGAGACACTATGTCAGCCAATACAAAATGTTCTGCAAGTAGTTACTCCTGTTAAGACCCCAAACAGCACAGGTCTTTGAATAAAAATCAAAAACAGATAATTCATAAAGGAGGATGTCCCTTCTGTGGTACAGCTTTTGGCTTCTCCTAGACGTCAGACTGGCCCAGGTTGACTTTGGAAGGGAGCGGTCCGGCCTCTTCCTCTGGCCCTTTGGAGGTGATGATCAGCAGGGAGGATGCTGGATATGGAGTCAGTTTCTGTTTCTCGATGAACTCCCTGTCACCGTAGATGCTCAGTTTCTGCAAGAAAAAAGGAAAATATTTCAGTTACTCTGTATAAAAACAAAAGTGTAAAAAATGACTCTACAGGAAGTTACTGCTTCAGGCCAGTACGTGATCTGGCATCATGTTTTTTGTTTTTTTTTTTAATAAAGTTTGTTAATTTTGATATAGATTTAACAGACAAGCTATAACGTATTACTGAGAGAGCTTTAGAGGTGATTTTTCTTCATGTAACCCAGCAAGAAAGCAAACAAGTTAGTCATTTACTCCATTAACAGTCATTATCAAAGCTATGCTACCCAGCTGCTTTTTCCAGTTACCCTATAGACCATACGACTGTTCTCATAGTCAGGGGTTTTTTTTTGGATCAGAATGTACCTTTAGGGGTTGAGTACACATGACAGCAACCCTCGTCAGTCCATATACAGTTAAGGTAATGAGTACGTGTTACTTTACTTCACAGAAATCTCAGCATTTTTCTGGTATTTCTTACAATTTAATAAACAAAAATATGTAAAATGCTTCAGTACTTGAAACACAAATAACCAAATATATGTGTTCTTTTTATTCTCCTTTCTTAACATTTTGCTGCTGGTGAGTCTGTTTTTGGTGGAGGCTGAAACTTTTCAAATATCATCTATGCAGGAGACAGTAGCATGTTTCTAAAGATGTAGAACTATTCTTTGAAGTTTTTAAGGTAACACACATTACAAGCCAAAAAGCACCCAAGCACACAGAGTATAAAAACAGAACTACAGTACCCAGAAATTACACATAGCAAACATACCTCGATTAAGCTCGTTTCTGCACCAAAGTGTCATGACTCTAAACAAGGGCAGCACAGAACTCACCTCAGCAGGTACATACTGGTCTACAGCAGTTGCCACAGTGGCACAACAGATCCAGATCAGGACCAACACAGACAGGATCAGAGTTGTGGTGAGAATCCACCCTGGTAGCCAAGGGTTCCTGAAAACAAAAAAGTGTCAATTCTAAGCTTTTGTGGCTCCACTGGGACTAGATCCTTAGTGCTGTTATTGCCATGCTCCACTGTGATAAATAACTGAACAATCTTGGTAATGTGGTCAAAAATGCACAAACCAACCTTGAGAGACAGCTGAACAGGTTGTATTCATCGTCATAGCTGCGGTCTCCGGTCATATCTCTGTCCCTCTCCTGGATTAAAGTGCGATGGTATTCTTTGTAGACTGGCCTGTTCAGCCTGGGGACTTGAAAATTAGAAGAAAAAAGAAGTTGTTTAGCATGTAAACACATCTCATCTCCTGATTGCCACTGTTGTATTGCAGATCATGGATTGTGTTTCAAACAGCCCAGATGTACGAATTTTTGGACCGCTTACTTTGAAGAAGCTCTCAGTTTTTATTCCGTACACTTGTTGTTTTTCATGTATCTAAGTGCAACATAAGGAATGTCTTCCAGGCGAGACCTTTTGAAAATGTGTGTCGCTGTTCTTACACTTAAACAATTATTTTCTGGGAAACAATGGGGGCCTATAGCATAGAGGAACGCAGTGGATCAGGTACTGAGCATACAGGCAATACTTGTAAGGCTTCATTGTTGGTTCTGGTTTTGTTGAAGATAAAACAAGAAAGTGGAGAACGTAACCACCTTTATCCTTTAAGTAGAATTTAACAAAACTAAATAGAGTGCTTACAGGTCTTTTGTGGCTCCTCTTTGACTTCTCTCTCCAGTTCAAACTGGGGGAAAAACTTGACTTGAGGCTCACTCTGTTAAACAGATCACAGAAGTGGGTTGTACACAGTGTTCTCTATTGCATTTGCACAATCAAAGGGTGAACTTTGTTGTTTATATTCAGAATGTTAAATTAGATCACCTAGTTTTCCGATTGTCAGTACTGTACCTGGAAAATGACAACCTTCCCATCATCAGCCTGGAGGTAGAATGTCCATGTGGAAGTAATAAAGCTGTGAGCCTGACTCATCACATCGTCCCAAAACCCTCTGACCAGAGTCAGGGGATACAGCAGGTGAATCCTGGGCATCATGACCTCCAACTGAAAAATAATACAGATAGTACTGAGCACACTGTTGTTTTTTGCAGGCTCATACAGAGTGCTGAGTGACTGCTAGATACATTTACCTGCTCAATCCGCTGCTCAGCAAATGGAAGTTGATTCTGACAACCCAGGTTGCATGCATACTGCTCATCTGACTGAGTGTAGGCTTCGCGACAGGCTGCAGAAGTGTGGAGGTAGTAATGAGTAACAGATGGTGAAACAGGATTATAGACGAGGGGGAAAGGTTTTTACTGCAACCCTGCTCATTATGCAATTTGGTGAGTTAACTCGGGGCTGATTAGAAGCACTGACTATTGTTTACAGCTCTATTGTAAAGATTTATACGGTTCAAAAGCATCATCCTGGACACCATGACGTCGTAAAGAAGTGAATTAAACAGGTCAAAAGCTCTGTGTATGACTTACTTGATTCACACTCGGATTTGGTCTGATTCAAATCGTCACTGTCACGAACAAACTGACAAATGGAGAACAGACGGCATCCTCTCTGACAGGCATAGAGTTCCTCCTCCTGTAAAACAAACCAAAGGACCAGTTGAATGCTTCGGTAAACAACGGCATCCGTGAGGGATGACGCACTTTCGACTTTAACATAAGTCCCAAGCTCTGCTTCCAATAAACAACGCGTCGTGTAACACAGTTATGTACACGGGCCCGCACTTGCATCGTTAACTTACGAATCGTTAGCTAACGCTAGCAGAAATTACTTTCCTCAGCAAGACATGTACTCACCCGTGGATACGTGTGCAAACTGTATGTCATTTCACATGACTTATGGCAGGAGGCTGTGCTCCCCAAGACGCTGTCGAACACATCTGTAGATGCTGAAGAGCAAGCAAGCAGGACGGAGAGTCCCAACATACAGGCAAAGGAGGATCGACTCCCCATTTTGTCTGCCAAAACCTAAACAATCAACACGCTCCTCTTCCTTGTCCTCCTTAATCGGCTTGCTTTCTCGCGAGAATTGTGAACATAACGCGAGATGTGCTTTTAATATTTTGATACGTTTAAGTCCTCCTCCATAATCCTGCGTATTTTCAGAAACCGACAACATGGTTCATATTTCTATTTTGTATGTGTATTTCGTATATTTTTTTTGTTTATATATGTTTTACTACAAATCTTATCATATAACTTTACAGAAGTAGCCTTATTTCGGCGGCAATGGTTGATGACTTTTTTTGTGTGTCTCCTACATGTGGATATAAAATAATCCTTTACTCGGTAAGAACTGCAGACACATTTGTACTTTGATAAGGTTAGAAAGATATTCACAGATTCGGATTTCCGGCATCAATAACTCTGTAACAAAACGTCATCAACACACAAAATACGCCTCTTTACTATCACTGTGAGGTGGATAATATACTACAAGATCATTTTTATCAAAAGCAGCTGTGAATATGTTTCCAACTTTACTGAAGTCACTTACTTGAACAAATATCCTAAACAAATCTTATCTGTGGCGCTACAGAGATGTCCTGGCCTACAGATCACGTTGTCCATTCTCCTCTTCTTTGGTTCAGACGGCAAAACATTACATTATCATTTTATTTTTATTTTATTTTATTTTTTAAATGAAGAATAGAGCAATGATCATGAAAACCCAAATCGGTACTCATATCAGAACATATCAGCCCTCAAGGATACCGTTTGGAGAACTAATTTATAATCTGTCCCTTGTTGTTGTTTTTCTTGTTGAGAAAATACGCAGTCATAACGGCGTAAATTATGTAAAAATAAACGTTCACTGTAATAAAGAATGATGAAATTACATCACAATAACGGGGTATATGTAAAATTATACTACACATTTTCTATCTACATGGCTTTTTATTCAGGTGAGTTGTTGCTGATATGTTGTAGTATATTTACTTCCTCAGTTTCCAAACAATTTAAGCTCGAGACACCGCTTTGTGTGTTTCCGACGGTGCCTGAAGGCAACATGAGTACTGCTAGCCATCTAGCTGCTGCTAGCTTTACCAAGCAGATGATTTGACACAGTTTTCTTTATACAGTGGACGGATAATGTATAGAGTACAGAGAAATAACCCGATTTAAGCTAGCAATACGTTTAATTTGTTGAAATTCAAATGCTGGCTCAAGTAAACGAGGTAATGTTTAAGCAGGTAGCTGCTAGCAGCAGTTAGCCGTGGTTGCCTCTGACCTAAGCTTCAGATATCGACACCTATAGTTCCCATTTACGCCACAAAAGTAACTGCTGTCCAAATCAGCTATTCTGCAAGGTCCTACTTTGTGGTAAAGGATGGACAAGTTTGTTGTCCGGCTCCCCAAGAGTGAAACTCTTCAAAAAGCGAAGAGCGACGGGAAGGTTTATAAGCAAACGACAATAGAGTCTTTACGGGTGAGTTTATGGACGAACAGGTGAACGAGCAGAATGAAGTCAAGATTTCTACTTAATAACTGCTCGCTTTTGTGTCTCCTAAAGAGGGTGGTTGTGATTGAGGACATCATGCGCTACAAGTCCATGCTGGAGCTGCCAGAACAGAGCAAAGACAACCTGCTGACTGCCTTGACAGAGCTGAGCAAGAAGATCCCATCCAGAGAGGTGCTCAAGTCCACCAAGATAGGTACACAGAGCAAACCTCCATGACAACACCTGATGCTGATACAGTGGTGCTTGAAAGATTGTCAGCCTTTCAGAATTTTCAATATTTCTGCACAGTCATGAGCTCAAAAATGATCCGATTTTCACACAGTTCCTAGAAGTACCACAGTTATTTCAGCTAAAATTCTCCCAAGCTGATGTGATCAACAGTTACCGGAAATGTTTTATTGTGATAACTGCACAAGGGGCTACAACAGAGTCACAGATTTGGTTCACATGCTTTTGCCACTCAGACATGTAACATTGGATCATTTTCCTCAACAAGTAAGTAAATGACAAAGAATAATGTTTTTGTCTCATTAGTTTGATTGGTTCTTTTTATCTGCCTTTAGGACTTGTCTGAAAGTCTGATGAAGTTTCACATGATATTTATGCAGAAATACAGAAAATTCTGCACACATTTTCATGCACTACTGCATATCACTGGATAGATTAATGCATTGTTGATGTGAAAAGCATTAACATGTATTGTCCAGACATAAAAAGTTTGAATTTTGGTCCCTGTAGCACTAATTGTAGAAGTCAATTTTGTAGCTGAACTTTTCTTGGCTTCAGTGGTGTTGTTACAGCAGCATTATAAACCACAAGAGCAAACAACTATCAAAACTGTTTTTACCTCATAAATGCCGGGTCAGTCATCAAACTCGAAATATTTAAATTAGTTCAACGCATAATAAAAACATCTTTCCCCTCAGGTCACACGGTCAATAAAATGCGGAAGCACTTGGACCCTGAGGTGAGTTCAATGGCAGCAAAGGTTTACACTGACTGGAGGACATTCATTGAGGAGAATTCCAATAAGCCGTCTATTGAAGTGCGCTCAGACAAACAATCAGAAGTGCTCAGGAGCAACGCGAGAAGACTCATGTCTGAAGCTCTGGAGGTCAAGGTGAGGAAGAGTGTCACAGTGAAGTTCAATGTAATGGAAAACGCCTTTGTGTTGTGCTCATTCTGTCCATTGTGCATCTGATTTGCACTTGACATTATATTTAGGTGGCACTGGTTGTGACATTTTAGAAACATAAATTGATGGAGATGCTACAGCAAACAGCTGCTCAATTGTTTGAATGTATGAAAGCTATCTCAGGTTGTGGTTTTGTTTTTGCATCGCAAATGAGGATGTATTTCAAATGAACAGCATTCACTGAAAACTCTGCATGTATGATTCGTGCATTAGGCAGCCCTTTCATTCAACACAATTTATCACTTCGTTGTTTGAATTTATAAATGTTTTTCATGTGAAGACACTCAGCATATTAACTTTTTGTTTGTTTGCTGCAAGTCTGTTGACATCACTGAAGTTTTTTTTTTAAAACCTGGATGATTGCTTGAAAAATGTTCCTGTTTATCTTAGAGCTATTTGGTCACTGACTGATTCATTCAGACTATTTTATATTTATGTGTTGTGTTTTCTGCTCCTTTCTTTTCTGACCTACAGGAGGATTCTGGTCTAATCGACAACATAGAGAGAGAAGTGTTTCACCAGAGCTCCCGGTTAGTCAGCTCCTCATACAGGCGGACTGTTAGAGCGTTAGTGTTTGCCTTCAAACACAACCCTGAGACCAGAACTCAAGTGAAGGACAACACAATATCAGTCAACCAGCTGGTTTCCAAATACAAAAAGTGACTTAAAATAAATTAGGCTGATTTTTAAATTGCATTTTATTATTATTTTTTGATTATTTTGTTGATTTTCTATAAATAACATACAAAAGACATTTGTGGCACATCAGCATCCTTTCACTGGTTTTTAACTGCACATGAATTGCTGTAAATGTTGATGATCACACTTTTGTAATGTGTTATGTATGATTGCTTTTGTCAATAGATCCTTCATTGTCTTTATACTGTTGAATATTTTTATACAAAATCTGATTTATAAAATGACGAGTTCAGCGTTGGGAGTCCATTCTTTGATAGATATGATCATACATATATATGTATATTTCACTAAAGAAGCACCAGCCAAACAATAGCTATGATCATGAGAATGACAGCTAGAACACAGATACTGATGAAGACAATATCACTCAAGTCATGAGGCTCAGATTGTGGACCCCTTGCATTGCCACCACTGTCGCTGTCAGCCTGCTGGGCCTGCTCTTCCAGACGGCGTTCCTCTGCTGAAATGATGGACACTGATGCTATCTTCCGCAGGGCGTCACACTGTATCTTATATTCTTGCACATTTTGCTGCTTCCCATCAGAGAAATCAATGTAGAGTTTGTTTACGAGCATGGTGATGTTTCGATGTTTCTGTAAGAGACCATTAGGTACAATATTAATAGCAGCAAGTCACAAATGGTCTTTAACAGCTAAGACACACTGCTCAAAAAAATAAAGGGAACGCCTAAACAACACAGTTTAACTCCAAGTCAGTCACCCTTCTGCGAAATCAACCTGTCCAGTTATGAAGCAACACTGATTGTGAATGTGTTTCATCGGCTGTTGTGCAAACGTACAGACAACAGGTGGCGATGAGAGACAATTAGCAAGACAACCCCTATAAAGGACTGGTTCTGCAGATGGTGACCACAGACCATGTTCTCATCCTTTCTGGCTGACGTTTTAGTCACTTTCGCATTTTATCAGTGCTCTCACCCCTAGAGGTAGCATGAGGCGGTGTCTACAACCCACACAAGTTGCTCAGGTAGTGCAGCTCATCCAGGATGGCACATCAATGCGAGCTGTGGTGAGAAGGTTTACTGTGTCTCTCAGCACAGTGTCCAGAGCATGAAGGAGATAACAGGAGACAGGCCAGTACACCAGGAGACATGGAGGGGGCTATAGGAGGGCAACAACCCAGCAGCAGGACCACTCCTTTGTGCAAGGAGGACCAGGAGGAGCACTACCAGAGCCCTGCAGAATGACCTCCATATGCATGTTTCTGCTTAAACTGTCAGAAACAGGCTGGAGTCTATCCCAGCTGACTCAGGGCGAAGGCAGGAGACACCCTGGACAAGTCACCAGTCTATCACAGGGCTACACTTAGAGACAGACAACCAAGCACACTCACATTCACACCTACGGGAAATTTAGAATCACCAATTAACCTCAACGTGTTTTTGGACTGCGGGAGGAAGCCGGAGAACCCGGAGAGAACCCACACTGCATGGGGAGAACATGCAGAAAGGTCCTGGGTGTCCTCACCGGGACACAAGCCGGCGACCTTCTAGCTGCGAGGCAACGGTGCTAACCACCGAGACACCTTGTAGCCCTAATTGAGATCTAGGATGTATTAATTTAGTGTTCCCTTTATTTTTTTGAGCAGTATATGTGAAATCATTTCCTATTGTAGTCAGTAGGTGATTGGAGGGGGATGAAGGAAGATGTCATCCCCTGTGTTAGCAAAATGAGCAAAATACAGTCCCTTTGTAACCTGCTATGTGTTTTTGTTGGTGGTGTGGGAGCAGGAAGGTGTTCCCACTGGAACATCTCCTCTGATTTAAAAAAAAAAAGTCACCCACTATTTATAGAATACCAGTAAGTCAGTGTGTCACTAGTCACCTGACTGGCGGTACCACAGTTAACAAACTGTGCAAGTATCTTGTACGAGGTGGCCGTTAGCTGTGCAGCACAGGATGGGTTCCCCAGGTAGATTTTCTCACGGTCCAGCTGAGGTAAGGACTGCTGCGGTATCAGAATGGTGAATTCTGATCTTGTGCAGCTAACATTTACAGGCACCACTTGAATTCAGGAGATAAAAACACAGGTCACAATTTTTAAGAGCATGAAAACAACAGGAAAGAACTGTCTGTAGAGGCAAACATTTAGTATTTATGAATTTAGTCTTACCAAGAGGATATTTTTAGCTGACATTTAGCCTGCAACCATCATTAGTAGCAGGGAGTGTATTTCCTATACCTGCAGCCTCCACAAGATAAGTAGAAGCTTATGATACCATGGTGTGAGGCGAAAACATTTTTCCTTCTGGAAATAAATCAAATATATATATATCGCATATATTGGGGATATATATACATATATGTGGAGCATTTACCTCCAAGATAAGAGGCAGTGAACCCTCTATGAGCTTCATTTCTGTCTGTGCTAAGCACCACCAGCAGCTTGTTGCCTCTTGAGATGAGAGAGGAAGGCTGCTCCCTGCCACACCAGCGACCCAGCAGGGCGTCTGTCTGGCTGTCCCCGTCATAAACTGCAACTGAATCATAGTCGCACTCATCTGACAAACTGTTCCGGTCCTCTAAGTCCATAAAGGGGAAGAAGAGTTTGATGCGGTATCCAGCTGCTAGAGTGACGCTCCAGTGGCAGTTGATGTTGTTTGGGTAGATGTTGGGGAAGTGTGGGCTGCTAAAGTTGCCACTCACATCCGACAGGACCTGCTGGCATTCACCTGTTCAAGTAGAGTTAATTAGAATTAGCTTAGTACAGGCTTAATCATCTATTTAAACAAGTCTCATGATTGTAAAAAAAAAAAAAATGCTGTTTTTTAGCAGGTACGCAAGTATTAAAGTGAGGAAAAATAGAATTCCCTCAAAGGTTATAGAATTAGCCTGGCATTTCGGAAAATACGCCTGTTTGCTTTGTTGGCAAGCGTTACTTGCGCAGATCAATACCGCTCTCATATTTATGCTTTCAGTATGGGACAGAATCCAGCAGCTGGTTTGTTAGTTAAGCTCAGAATAAGAAGTGGAAACTGGAGGAAACAACTGTCCTGGTCACTGCACCTGGCCAAGAAAAAAGTAATATGGAAAATGTCTTTTTCTCTTTGGATTTTGTCAAGACAACAAAAATCTAACTCAGTCATTTGTAAGCTTTAAACATGCTGGTAAGCAGGTTACATTTACTTGGACAGTGTTCTCCTCCTGTTCATGTCTTTGTGCTCAGCTAGGACTATATAAGCAGCTGCTATGCTCCAGCATTGTACTAAATGAACAGACCTGAGGGTAACTGTCTGTGAGAAAACACATATTTCCAAACTAGTCCTATAAAACTATGACACTTGATTTTTAGGGTAGTTCTATTGATGAAATTATTGCTACATTTGAATATGTATAAGTTGTGCAGTCGTGTTTTTCAGCTACATTGTTGGGTTTTCATCCTCTTTGCCAGTTGGTTTGTGTAATGACACGCCTACACTTAATGTCTTTGTATCTGTGGACGCTTTCTTAGGTTTCAAGGTAACTGCTTTTCTGTTCTGAATTTGTGAGTGAATGGAATTTTTTTCAATACAGGTTGCTTTAAGTTTGATGGAGTATTTAAAAGCACATAACATTTTTGACAACTGAACAACCTTTGCTGCAGTTACACAAAAACATGAACAGTCAAGGTGAACAAATGACAAAAAGGCTTTTGAATATTGGTTAGAATAAGCCAAACCAATATTTCCTTACCAGAGTAATAGTAGGCCTTGAACCCTCGTCCCCCAATGTTGAAGTCAGACTTGAAAACTACCAGAAGTTGGTTGGAAGTGGTGACTATGTTGGGGGGTTTGTCTGTGCCACAGTGTTTGCCGAGGTGGCGGTGGGTGACTGTTGGGCCGTCAAACAGGGCGACAAAGTCAAAATTACATCCCTCATTGTTTTCAAGCTGGAAGTCCAAGAAGACCAAGGTGACCACGCTCGTGTTGGACACATGGATGGACCAGGTGCAGTCGGCATTGTTGCTGTACTCCTGAGGATAGCCTGGACTGGAGATCATGCCTGATAGACCAGTCAGGACTCCACCACACATGTCTATAGAATGCAAGGGGCAAATTCAAATGTAGCTTATCTGTATAAAGAGGACCATTAGTGGGTCACTGTGACATAATTAGTTTTGTGTGACAGTCTGGAAAATAGTGGGGGTCCACCTGTAACACTGTATGTACACTGGTTACTCATTTTCCTGCATCTTTGAAGAGAACTCATTGATCAGGGTGCGATCAAAGACAACATCTTTGAAAATATTGCAAACAGTAACTTTTTAGCCTGTAGGGTTGACAAAGTCAGTCTGTCAGTGTATCGTGGGAAACATTATAACCACACTAAACATCTGCTAGTATTATCATTATGAGCTTGATTGTGAGATGTGCCTCACAAACACAGATTCACAGAGCTTCTAGCATGGTGCTTAGTGTTGTTTCAAAATAATGGTATGGTGAGATAAAGGCCAAGAAATTTTTAGCTTAAAGCCACAAGTTAAGTTACTGCCACACAGCCAGACAAAATCAAATAAAGTTTTGGGAAATTAGCCAACCGATCCCTGTCATACTGCATTAATTAGAACAAGTTACCTTTTCTGTAGCCAACTCTGAATCCCCTGTAGGCCACATGGCGGTCTGAGTGGAAGATGATGGACATGACATTCCAAGATGAGGTGAACTGAGGAGGGGAGATGTCACCACAAAATGTCCCGAGGAGGTTCCCCTCATCCTCGGATATGCCATTATATATTTTGATGTAGTCGTAAGCGCAGCTGGTGTGGTACTCCAGCTCAAAATGGTGGAAGGTGAGCAGGACAGAGGAGCCCTCTGCCACCACAATTAGCCAGGAGCAGTCTATGCTGTAGGGATACAGGCCTGGGAAGTTTGGGCTGGAGATATTTCCTGATGGGGCCGAGAGGATTCCTCCACATTTGACACCTTATAATTACAAAAAACAGTTCCTTTCAGCTGAGAGAAGAAAGACACTGGATAAAGGTTTGGGCTCATCTCTCACTTATGTGACTATTTTCTAGGCACCATATACAACCTTTGAAAAGCATTACAAGCTGACATTGAACAACTGAGGCCCAATATTCTTTGTATATACTGTACCTACAAGATAAAGCACTCCCATGAAATTTAAGCATCGCGCCATCAAAATAACAAATAACAACTCACCTTTTTTAGAATCAGCCTTGTCAACAAGCAGTAGTAAATGAATCAGTATAGTCACCCTGAGACTCATGTTGT